TTATTATATATTATTAATAATAATATTAAAAATTATTATTAATTTATATATATATATATATATATATATATATATATATATATATATATATATATATAAATTTATCTTTTTCTTTTATATATATATATATATATATATAAAATAATAATAGCGGCCAAAGCGTAAAGTCGACGGAGGGACGCGTTTTCGTCCGAAGAGGCGCTCGAACGTGTTCCGGAAGTAGGACGAGCGATCGTCGCGCACGGTCGCGCGAACGATCGATCGGTCGGCTTCGAGGAAACGTTTCCCGAAAGCTTGGCGTCGCGTCGTTTCGAGAGGCAGACCGATGTCGAAATAAGTCAACTGGCGGTGTGTCTTTCTTGTTTTCTGTTTCGCTCTACCAGAAGCACAGTCAGGTAACTCATCAACCATACGAGCAGAAGGGCGGAGAGAATGTAAGATACGTGAAGGGAGAGAGAGAGAGAGAGAGAGAGAGAGAGAGAGAGCGCACTCTGCACAGAATAAAGCGTGATTCCTGCACACATACATATCCGCGTACACGTACAGCTCCGCGTGCAACCGAACGAACGCTCGCACGCACGCAACGCAACGCAACGCAACGCACCTCGCACTCCGAGCAACGATCGATGTCGCATGAAAGTGTTACGCGCGGATCGGCCGGGCTTGGGACTAGAGGGCGACGAAAAGCGCGAGAGAAAGGAAACGGGCGTCGAAACTCGTTCGATCGAGCAGAAAAATTTGGCGAATTTTCAGACTTTCCCCAACGGAAACGATTTCGATCGGTACGATAAATCCCGCGCGTCGACGATACCTTCGATTCGGTTCCATCCGCTTTAAAACGAGTTACGTCGTTGGAGCGTCGCGTCGATCCGATCTCCCCGAGAGACCGCGTTCGCCCAAATTCCCACGCTGGAATTTTCCTAGAGCGCGGAAGCAAAGTGGCCGGTTTCCGAGAGACGCCGCATCGGTTGCGTTTCCTCCCATTTAATTTGAAATTTGGAACGTCGCAGTTTCCAGCGTAGCCCGCGGTATTCGCAAAGTTCCAGAAATATTTTCATCGATCCGCGAGAGTAACGTTCTCGAGCGAGATTCCCCGAGCTTTTAAACAATTTCCGTGGCACCTTCCAGACGGGAGAGAAACGGCCGATCGGACAATTTTGTCTGCCCGCGATGCTCTCCGGTAACGATAAATCGAGTCTCCTGTGTGTGGTACTGCGTTCGACCGCTCGTTAAAAGTAGGAACAGGTGGCCGAGAGCCAGCCGAGCCAGCCGAGCCGACCTCGCTCCCGACCGATTCCCTTCGGAGATCGGGACGCCGTCGCGGCTCGATCGTCGTTCAGTCCCTATTTCGATCCGTTCGATCCGTTCGATCCGTTCGATCCGTTCGATCCGTCGAAATCGTTCGCTCCCGGCAAAACGAGTCGTCGATTCGTTCGGCGACCGAGTCCGCCGTTCGCTCCCTTTTGGTATCCGGATTTGCTGGCCGAGTTCTTTCTCCGGGCGCCGAGTGCGCGCGATAAGGACAGATTAGCCTCGAAACGTCGAGGTCCGTCGAGCCGCCCGGTCTCCGAACAATGCGACGCGAAAGTACGGGACGACGGTCTCGTAAATTACCCGGAATGCAAATTTCGCGCGACGCCGCGGAAAGAACCGAGGCGCGTTCTCCCAAAGGTTATCTTCTCCCGGAGATACCTTCGAAAGTGAAGAAAAATTGCGAGGATTCCGCGGGAACTCGTACTTTCGATAAAAAGACGAAATTGAAAAAAAGGCTTCCTTTCTCTCGGAGTTTCGCTCCGTCGACGATTTATCGTCAGGATCTCGCGATTACGAGAACCGAGAATTCCTCCAGGCTCGGCACGCCGGCATTTCGTTGCATGACAATGTACGATGCGTATGCGCATAGTTTATGAATTTATAGAAGAATTACACGCACGAACCCGCGCGTCTCCGCGCATCCTCCGCGTATCCGCGTAATTTGCATTACATACCGAATCCCGGCGAGCCGAAAGCTGCTCTCGTCGACTCTGAACGCGTCCGCGTTCGACGGAACCCGTTCGAGGTAGTCGATCGGGCCGAATTTTAAACGTTTAAACGAGGAAACGCGCGTTTGTTCGACCGCGGTTGCAAACGCGTTCCGAAATGCGCGCGTATCCGTTGAGTCGAGACGCGGGCGTAACAGAGGAAGAACGATAAAGAATGAACGATCCGGCGAGATCCCGGCGAGAGCTCCCCCAGGGTCTGGAACAACCGAGCGCTCGCTCGCGCGTACAGGAGAGGCGGGATCGATCGAAGACGATCCGAATAAATTGGTTGGACGCGAGAAAAGATGCGGAGGGTAGAGAGCGAGATCGCCCCCCGCGGGGGCAGGAATCGATCGTCGAACGGGCTCGGGGCGCGGAGTTTTATTAAGCCCGCGGCGGCGACGACGACGACGACGCAAGTTCGGCGACGAGAGCCCGCGTAACGAGCCGATTGTTCGCCTTATCTCTTTCGTCGACCGGATTAATCCGTGCTTCCCAATCGGGTCTGTCGCCGGGGGTGGGAGATCGATTACAGGACTCCCGGGGATCGGGCACGGACGCCGTCCCGGCCGCCCCAGCGTCCCCTCGGTCTCCTTGTCCGAGCGTGAAATTCTTTCTCTCGTCGTCGTGTCCGAACGGTTCATCGATCGCGTTCATCCGGCGAGACCGTCGCGAAAGCACCTGCCGTCGTACGCCGCGCGTTGTACGCGCGATCTCCGCCCGATCGAGTATTATTTTATCGCGCGACTCTCTCTCTCGAATCGGTTTCGAGGGTGGCTTCGTCGTCGTCGACGGTCTTTTCTTTTCACCGCGGCAATTCGATCCGCGTGCGAACGCGAAATCGACGAAATTGTATCGGGGGCGTTCTTAGCGTGTACTTTTGCCTCCGGCCAATAATTTGCATATCCCGGCACGAGACGCGGAGCATAAATCGGATCGCGGACGATCGATGACGAGCGCGCGCGCACGATACGCCTCGGAAATCGGCGGTCGTCGAAAGCGAATTTAATTCGAGCGAATCGAATCGAGTTTCCTCGACCGTGGAAGGATTTCGAAACACGGATCGCGACCGCGAAAATTTCGCGACAACCGAACGGACGACAAGATTCGCTTCGGAGAGACGATCCGGGTGAATCGGGCGGACGTCGGCGGTTTCTTCTCGAGCTCGCAACGATGTTCGCGCGAACCGATTCGTCTGCTCGAACAATTTTCCAAGCGATTCGAGGCAAGTCGAGCGTACGGACGATAAAAAAGTTGAAACTCCAAGTTCGCGGGTTTTTCCAGGGCCGATTAAGCGGTGACCGGGTCACTCGCGAGTGCGATGCAAATTGCGCGATCTTATCGGCTGTGTTTCCGCAGGAAAAAAGGAGAGGGTGAGCGGGAGAGAGAGAGAGAGAGAGAGAGAGAGAGAGAGAGAGAGCCCATGCTGCATGCCCACGCGCACGCGAGACACACGAAACACGCACCGGCACAGGTTATCTCGAATCTCTGTTCGAACAGTTTTCACTTGTATGCATCCGCATTTGTTTTCTATCCGTTTCTCTTCCGCGTCACCTTCCGTTCACGATTCTCTCGTTTGATTCGTCTCTCTTCGTTCCTCCTTTTCGTTTTCGTTCTTTTCGTTCGAAACGCGCGACGATTTCCATCCATGGCGCCCTACGTCGAGGCGACGACGCCCGAGCAACGTCCCTGAAAACGGGAGCTGCGAGTCCTCGCGTTTTCGCGACTCGAAAACGACGCTCGATCGTTCGCCTTTGCGACGATCGAAATAGCCGCAGAAGTCTCGTTAACTCGGCATTTCGGTAAAACGATCGAACGGTTCGATTCGATTCGATCCGGTCGTAACCGTTCAACGTTCAACGGCTCCCGGTTCGATGGCGCGACGGCGCTCGGGTGCTCGCGACGGCGATACCCAAAGTCCGAGGCGATCGAAGAAATTGGAAAAGCGTTCGGAGCGGCTATCGGTGACACAGGCTCCGATCGCGCGGAGCGGCGCCCTGGATGGAAGGTTCCGGCGAACGTTGGTCGCGGACCGGTCGCCGGGCAGCTTCCGGCCTGATGGAAAGTCTGCGAATTGTTCTCAGGGGTGGGTGTCTACATTTCGAGGGTGGAGGAGGGTTCGGTGGCCGAGCGGGCTGGACTCAGGCCAGGAGACACCATCTTGGAGGTGAACGGAACACCCTTCCGGTCGGTAACCCACGAAGAGGCCCTCACAGTGAGTTGAAACTTTCATTTTCCGAACACACCGAGACGCGTCGCAGCCCGTGGAGCTCTAAACCGTGGACCGTAAAACCCTGAACCGTAAACCGTAAACCGTAAACCATTTCCGCCGTCGCGGCGCGCCTCGCCTCGCCTCGCCTCGCCGCGCTATTCGTTCGCGTACGCGCGTACATCTGGCAGTCGGCCCGCGAAGATCGACGATAGCGCCGAAATTTCGGCACCGGTTCACCCTCTTTCTCGAACGGCCGTCGAGCTTTCGTCGAATCTTTCCCCGTTCCCACGCGGTCCTCCGGTCCATAAAATCGCGGATTTTTCTCGTAAAAATAATCCGTTTCCCCCGCCGGGGCTAATCTTCGTAAAATCTTCGTAGAAACATCGAAGGTTTCCGAGAACAATTTTCCTACGATACCGGCAATTTCGAATAGAATCTCGGTCCTCGGAAATTCCGAGCGCGGATTCGCGGTCGTTCGGATTTTATTTTCGCCGTCTTCGATCGAGGCTCCGGGAAAAGCGGGTTAACGCGTAGCGCGTATTTTCGGAGCTGCGGCGAAAGAAAAAAAACCTGCCGCTTCGAGTCTGTTCGGCAGTTCGCGTCGTTTAAAATCGATTCCCTCGGATGTCGCGTCCCACCCGTTGCCGTGTCCCGCCACCCTTTGATCTCTTTTCGGAATTATTCGGTGGACGGTCCGCGTCGCCCGTCCTTCGGAACACAGTTTCGATCCGTTTCCGCGTCGCTGGGCTATTCCTCGAACGGCGTCGCCCGAGAGGAAAAATTCGCCTCGCGCGTCGCATTCCGCGGGTAAAAACATCCTAGGAGGAAACGTGGAAAGCTCGACGATGCCGATTCTGCCGGATGTTTCGCGAGAAAAAAATCGACGCGAACATCGCCATAGACGTCGATGCCGATATATCCAGCGCCCGGCGGAGAGAGCAGGGTCCGAGCGGACGCGGACGTCGAGATATTTCGCGCGGTCGAGCGAGAGAAAAAAAAAGTTGGACGGGGAGGCTGGCAGGAGGGAGGAATTGGGCGGGTATCGACTGGCCGGGATGGAAAAGAGGCAGGCGTCGCGACGCTCCGAGCCGCGCGACGCGGCACGAGTAATCTCCGGTGTAAACGCTTCCGATGGGTATCTCTGGATCCGGTGGCTCGTCATACTCTCGTAGCAGCTCGCCAGCTTCTAGACAAAAGCCCGTTCGACAATGGGCCATCGGAGTATCGGGGGCTGGCTCGGCGAAGAGAAGAGAAGAGAAGAGAAGAAAAGAGAAGAGAGGCACGTAGTCGGGCGAAAACTACCTCGGAACTTGGCATGTTCCGAAGGCTTTTTCATCGGTGGAACCCGCTTCGCCGACGCGCGACGGTTTCAGCGCTTTCAGCGAATCGCAAATATTTTTCGGCACGTTTCCCAGCGTTTCGCTCCTCGAGACGACGCTCGACGACCGCGGCGACGTCTTTGCCTCCTCGCGGAGAAGGTCTTTCTTTCGACCAGGAATTAGAATCGCGATCGCGCGCGGCTCGATTCCAATCTCTCGAACGTTTTTCGAATGCGAGTCGCGAGCGTCGGGGACGGAGGTAAACGCGGCGGAGCGTTCTAGAAGCTTTCGCGCGCGTTTCTAAGCTCGTTCGAGAAGCGCGCGTCGATTCTTGATCGGAAGCAGAAAATCGGAGAAACGTCGATAGACTCGTCACGGACGAACCACCGATCGGTACGCGATTCGCCGTGGAGCTTCTCGAAAGTACGATACAACGCCGTACGGACATCCGGCGCGTCGCGAGTCACGAGCCACGAGCCACGAGCCACGAGCCACGAGCCACGAGCCACGAGCCACGAGCCACGAGCCACGAGCCACGAGCCACGAGCCACGAGCCACGAGCCACGAGCCACGAGCCACGAGCCACGAGCCACGAGCCACGAGCCACGAGCCACGAGCCACGAGCCACGAGCCACGAGCCACGAGCCACGAGCCACGAGCCACGAGCCACGAGCCACGAGCCACGAGCCACGAGCCACGAGCCACGAGCCACGAGCCACGAGCCACGAGCCACGAGCCACGAGCCACGAGCCACGAGCCACGAGCCACGAGCCACGAGCCACGAGCCACGAGCCACGAGCCACGAGCCACGAGCCACGAGCCACGAGCCACGAGCCACGAGCCACGAGCCACGAGCCACGAGCCACGAGCCACGAGCCACGAGCCACGAGCCACGAGCCACGAGCCACGAGCCACGAGCCACGAGCCACGAGCCACGAGCCACGAGCCACGAGCCACGAGCCACGAGCCACGAGCCACGAGCCACGAGCCACGAGTCGCGGCGACACGGCACGGAACAGCACCGCGCGCGAGTCCGTGTCTCGTCCGACATCGATCGGGCATAAACGTTTGGACGAACCGGCGGATTAAATTGCACGGCTGTCGTAAAGCTTAACGGTGCCGGCAGCTCGTTATTTCGTAACGGCTGGCAGAGACGCGCTACCGAGAACCCTCTGCGCGAACCGAACGCGCGTACGGATCGCGATATACGTGCGGAGGGGGCGCGCGAAAAGTTCGCCCGATTTATGGCGCGTCGTTCCACACCGAATTCGTTAGCGCGGTGGCAAATTTAAAAAACGCGACGGTCCCCGGTACACTTTTTTCATGCATCGTTCGTCGCTATCCGCCGTTCGTTCGAGTCAAGCTACCGTCTCTTTTACACGAGAAACCGAAACTCCGATTTTTCGTTTCGCTCTATCGAGATTATGGCACGGATTATTCCTCGAACGAATATAACATTAATTCTTTTAAACGGCCGACCCTTTTTTGGCGCGGTCTTCTCCACCGATCGAAGACGATCGTTCGTCGCGTCTGAAATTGTATACGCGGTGCGCGCCGACGGAACCGGCGGAAACGTGATCTGATATTTTCGAATCTCGGTCCTAAGTAAACTATAGATTAATTTTTGTCCGAGGCTAAAGTTCCTTTTCCATCGCGCTCTCGTCCGTAAGTTTTTCAAACCGATAAAACCATTCTTTTTCTAGTTTCATTTGGATTTCGAAGCACGCGTCTTCGATTTCGGATCGTTCGTTCGCAACGATATTCCGGGATGTTCCACGCGCCGTGCACCACGCGCCCCTATAATTCCTTGCCGCGGGGGTCGGGAGCAACGATGCCAGCAGCGAAGTCGGAAAGGTTCGGAGAAGACGAGCAAAGTTTTCGCATTCCCTCGCGCACGTCCACGATCGACTCGCCCTTAGCCACCGTCCTCCCAAGGTTCCATTTTTTCCTGCCTCGGGCGTCGCCGTGTTCGCGAGTCGCGTCGCGCCGTCGCGGCGCCAGACGTCGCGTCTCGTCTCGTCCTGTCTCGGCTTCTCTGCTTCCCGGTTTCCCGGTTTCCCGGTTTCCCGGTTTCCTTCGTTATTTATTTTTCTCCGGATCCACGCGGCGCGCGAAACCACCGCGGAATCCGATTCGGAGCTCGAGACCTCGAACTTCTTTCGCCGTTCCGGTCGTTTCGAACGAGTCGAAATCGGAAACGGGGCGCGGACGAATACGGGCTCGTTTTCGAGATCGAAATATCTCCGCCGTCGTAGTCCACGATCGATTTTCCTCGGAAACATCTTCCCACGATACTTCGTACCTCGGATACTCGGATACTCGGACACTCGGATACTCGGATACTCGGATACTCGGACCCAGGCACCGGGGTACGACTCGAAATATCTTGGTTCAAAATTTCAGCGCAATTTTACGGCGGCCCGTTGCTGCGAGCGTTGTCTTTCATCGTCGATATCTCGTAAACGGAGTTACGACACTCGCGAGTCACGAAACGGAAAAGAAATTCTTCGTTGGATTTGCAATTGGGTGAAGAGGAAAGGATTCTTCGGACAGCCTGTGCCATTGTCGCCATTCGCCGCAGTCTCTCGTTCTCGAGTAGCAACCCTTCCGATCGTCGGTGGCTGGTCTCCGGCCGACGATCGGCATTCGCGAAAAACTCCCGAGCGGAAGAAACGCGTTGTGCTGCGTTTTATTATCTACGTTGTTTAGGGCGTGCTTAACCTAGAAACGGCGAAACGGGGAAACGGCCGCCGCCTGTAAGCACGTAACGGTTACGATCGCGGCACGAAACGTCGATCCTTCCTCGCGTCGAGCCATTCGGCAACGCGACTCTCGGCGTCCGATGCAACGACAGGCTCGAAGCGACGCGGTCGAGGAAAATCGGGCTCGCGATCGGAAACATCGAAACGGTGGTAGAAACATTCCTCGCGTTACCTCCTTCTGCGTCCCTCGACCACTCGCTCTCGCGACGATGCCAGCGATGGAAAATGATCGATAACTCGATATTTTATTTTTTATAACACCGGGACGAGAAAGCAAATACTTCAGCTCGTTCGGCGGGTTCTTACGAACCACGGAAACGTTTTGCTTCCGACGTTAAATCCGAAAATATAATCGACGTCGGTCGGTGGTCGAGGTGGTCGGTATCGCTCGAAATTACGAAAGCGTCCGTTGACTCTCGAACGTTCGGGAAACGATCGCGACGGCGTCTTCCCCATGGTCGGATATCGCGCGAAATCGGAGCTGTCCTCGGTCTGCTCCGAAAATACGCGGCACGATAGACCAGCCCCGTGGGAGCGGCCTGTGACGTCGCGAACGGAAATAGTCCTGGTCAAGACACGATAACGAGCTTCGACCGAGTTGGCTCGCGGCTTCGCGCGCCCATCGCCCTCATGAATTATTTATTTAATCGGCCCCCGCCGGAAGACAAACGGCGGACAAGAATTCGCGATTCTCGGTTCTCGGTTCTTCGTTCTCAACGGCCTCCACCGCGCCGCCCTCTGCCGTAATTTACGGAGTTGCGCTACACGGGGTAGGTCCGTGGCCTATACCCTGCTAAAGCTGCAACCCCTGTTACGACCTTGAACGCCAACGCGAATGCCACCGATTCCTTCTATCCGCGAAGCGAAGCGCGTCGGAGGGACAAGCAGAAATCCGGGCGCAGCGAACGATTCCCTGAAAGGATAAGCATCCGCGGGACTTTTTAATCGTCGCCGAGCACGCGAAACGCTGTCCCGTTTGTACGGCCGCAACGGCGAGACGCCGAAACGACCGCGACGATAACGCGGCGCGGGGCCCTGCCCCGGTCGGGCCGGCGTGCCATCGCGGGACGATATTCCGTGGAAACGGATTCCCGAATCTTCCCGTAGTCGAGCAAAACCGTTCGCGCGCATCGTCGTCCGTCCTCGTCCTCGTCCTCGTCCTCGTCCTCGTCCTCGACCGCATCCCTACGCCGCGCCGCGCGCACCGCGGATGGAAATCTGTCACGGATCGCGTTACCGCGCTCGCCCAGAGACTCGAGACTCGAGACTCGAGACTCGAAACCGCGGAACGAACCAGCGTCCCTCAGGCTCCGACGTCCGCGTCCGTAACCGTCCCGCCCTCGACGATCGCTTCCTCCGTTCAAAGTCCGCGGATAATTCCCGTTGATCGGGAACCTTTTAAAAATCCTCCGGAATACGATCGATCACCGTTTTTTCCGGTGCGCGCGCTCTTTCTTCGCAGGGTTCGAGCGCGTTCGAATCGATCATTTTTTCGAGGTCGCCGAGCGGTCGGGCTCTCGGGATCCTGGACGCGCCGACGAATTCCCGCGATCTCGTCCGAAACAAATTCCTGGCGCGATCCCGAAGGCGTCTTCCGGTTCGAACGTCGCGTCGATAGCGCCGGCCGAGCGCGTAGTTCGCGCGTAGCTGCGCGAGTATCGCGTCTTTCCCGCGGGATCCGGGATCCGGGACCCGGGATCCGGACCGGGTGCTGGGTCAAGGATAGGCAGGATGCGACGTCACGGGCCGCCATGAGATCGATATCCTAGCTATCGTGACGGCGTGGCAGCGTGTCGGCACGGTGTTGCAGCGTCACCGCGTAACGCGTCGTTCGCTCCTCGTTGATTTTGGGCGTGCCAATTTACGTCGAGCGCGCGCTGCCACCGTTTACGCGTGCTCGCCGAAGCAAGCGATCCGTTCGTTGGCCAGAGAACAGCTGTGTTCCACGATACGCGCGCGTCGATTCGTTCGAGTCGGCGTCGAGATTTTGGCTGATTTCGCGAGAGCGATCACCGTTGTCGGTCGTTGGACGAGACGAGAGGTCGGCCGAACGAAGAAATACGAGCAGCGAAGAAATCGTTCGTTCCCCGTTGACCCGACGCGCGCCGATCGCGCGTCGCGTACGAGCGATCTATCCCGAGGTCGGCCGCGAGAAACGAATCGATAATTTCTTAACCGAACCTTCCGAACCGCGAGCTTCCGGTTGTAAGTTCCACGATTCGATACCTCCTCGGTCGAACCGCCGATTCCGTCCACGAAAGTTCCACCGTTGCTCCGGCTGGTCGAAAGGCGTCGAAGCCGCGCAAAACCGCGGATATTAACCGGTCCACGAACGGCTTGTCCCATATTCGGAAGACGATGCGATCCCGTTAAAACGTACGCGTCGATCGATTGCACGCGCGCGAATACGCTTTTTCGAGCCCTACCGCGACCATCCCGATTCCAATCGAATTCCAATTTAACCGGCCGACATCGAAATCGCGATCGAAATCGCGATCGAAATCGACACACCGGCCGCCGTTCGCGAGCGAGCACGGAGCAGACGGTGTTCATGCCGCTTTCGATCCTCTTGCCAGATGTTGAAGTCCTGTAGGACCCTCAGCATGACGGTTCGGGGCCCAGCGTTGGATCCCCGTTGCAGAGTCGGTCATCCGGTTTGGTCGACTTCCGGTCGTCAGCAATCCTGCAGCTGGATGGACCGTCAAGGTCGTCCCGCGTCGCCGCCGCCGGTCTACCCGAGCAGGGACTCGAGGTATTGCCCGAGGACGAGGAAGGTCGAGCTCTGCATCGAACCCGGCCAATCGCTCGGCTTGATGATCAGAGGCGGTCTCGAGTACGGCCTTGGAATTTACGTCACCGGAGTTGACAAGGACAGCGTGGCGGACCGAGCCGGTCTACTGGTGAGAGTCGTCCGATTCGTCGCTTTGGAATTCGGAATTTGGAATTCGGAATTCGGAATTCGGAATTCGGAATTCGGAATTCGGAATTCGGAATTCGCCGGTGTTCGCGATCGGTCGGATCTCGAGCCGAGAAAAACGAGATCGATTCGTCGACGAACGGTCGAGACGGGAAACACAGAGTTATATTCGTATATTCGTATCCCGCGCGAAATGGCTTCGAGGGTGGGTATCGCGCGTTGCTCGTCGCGCTCGTCGGGACGAATCGATCGGCCTACCGGGATCGACCGGGCGCGCGCCGACTTTGTCTCTGCGAAAGAGAGGGCGATCGAACACCTTCGTTCGGTTTCGTCGTTGGCCGAAATCCGGGGCGAAGCTGTTCGTTCCCGCCTCGTCTAATTACATACCAACTAAATTACATACTAACTCGTTGGAAATTGTCGTCGTTGATCCGCAGGTAGGCGACCAGATCATCGAGGTGAACGGTCAGAGCTTCGAAGAGGCTACTCACGACGAGGCGGTGCAGATCCTGAAAACGAACAAGAGAATGACTCTGTTGATCCGAGACGTGGGTAAAGTGCCCCATTCCTGCACCACCAGTCAACCGATCGTGATGCCAACGTCCAGGTACTCGGACCACGATTCCTTGCTGCTCGAGAGTCCTGGGAACCATCGTCCGCCGAGTCCCTCGTAAGAAACGGTGTTTCTCTCGCCATTCTCCTAAGCGCGAGCGAAACGAAACGAAACGAAACGAAACGGAACGGAATCTAGCGAAACGTTCCAATTGCTTTAAAAGCGCAGCGGTCGTATCGTGTGTGCAGCATAGCGAGCGACTGGAGACATCGGGGCGGGGTGCACACGGTGTCGGCTGCGACCGCGGCCATGGTGGAGGAGAAGGCGAGGGTGGTACTCGCGAGGAGCGAGAGGGCGGCGCTCTCGCAGCTTCTAGCCGATTACAGAACTCGCCGTTTGACGATCGAGGAGCTGGTAGCCAGCCTGGCCGACCTCTTGAACACTCACGAGAAGCTGACTTTGCTGACGGAGCTCAGGGAACTCGTCGACAGCAAAGACAGGCCCGCCTTCGACGATCTCGTTTACAGGCCTCGCGTAACCATGGCAAGGGTGGGTACCGCTTCTCGCTGAATTTAACCGACGCGACGCGACGTTCCGAACTTGTGCCCGGCGACCTTCCCTTTCGCCCGCCTACCGGCCGTTGCTCGTCGAACGTCCGATCGAATCGTCGGTGGATGCGCGGTGGTCCACGATAGCGAACCTCTCTTTCGAACCTACATTTTTTAGGCGAATGGATTCGAATTCGCGAGACGAATCATTCGCGTGTCTGTTTCAGAGAAAAGGAGACCGTGCTCACTCCGATCTGATAGTGACGCCCTCCCTTCACGATCTTCCGGTAAGTGCGCCACCGATACCGAACCCAGCGACACACGTACACGCGCGCACACGCGCGCATCCAGCGATACAAATACAGACACGCGCACACGCAGTGATACAAAGACACGTGCACACAAAGATACGAGCGACAGTCGGACAAATCTCACTTGTCAACACGGTATTCTCTCTCACTCACTCACTCTCTCTCTCTCTCTCTCTCTCTCTTTCTTTCTCTCTCTTTCTTTCTCTTATTCATCTATTCATTTCTCGGGACATGTATAGAAACTACTCTGTCTTTGCCTTTCTCACTCACTCTCTCTCTCTCTCTCTCTCNCTCTCTCTCTCTCTCTCTCTCTCTCTCTCTCTCTCTCTCTCTCTCTCTCTCTCTCTCTGTTCTGCCGTTGTCCATTGTAACTGTTAGATACGTATAACTGTTTCTCTACCTTTCTGTCGCCGGGCGTCGCGAGCAACCGTGCAGAGAGATCCGTCCCGCGCGAGAAATCTCCGAATATCTGTTCGCGGACGGGTACCTCGGTCCTGGTTCCTCGTGGCCAATGGATAAATCTGGTATGCTCGTACCCCTCGCCGAACGTATCCGACTAGAACGCGTAACGATTCCTACGATAGCGACCGAGACAACGTTCGCGAACGTCGATCGGTTCGACGATCGATCGACCGGAGAAGAAACAACGAAACGAACGATACGGGCCGAAGCGACGAGAATAATTGGGAAACGATGCGGAACAACGGAACGACGGAACGGAAGAATGGAAGAACGGAAACGAAATCTCATCGCCGCGTCGATTGGAGAGGTGCGAGGATATACGACGAGGATACGACCGCGATTAAGAACGAAGAGAACCACCTGGAGAACGTCCAAGGGAATCGTCGAATTAACGGACGCGTCTCGCGGCTATTAAGGGGAAACGTCGACCCGGGAGACGAACTTTTGTTTTTGCTTCATTGTTCTCGGCTATCGCGGTGACCCGTGACGCATGACTCGGAAGTTTTCCTGCAACCCCTTCTTCTTCTTCTTCTTCTTCTTCTTCTTCTTCTGTTACTACTACTACCGCTGCTGCTGCTACTACTATTACCGTAGTAGTCTTCTTCTATCTTTTCCGTCTCTCGTAGAAGCATCTCCGTGATTTGTCTTCTACCGCTTCTTTCTCATCCTTTGCTACTTCTTCTTGACCGATCTCTCTCTCTCTCTCTCTCTCTCTCTTTCTCTCTATAACTGTCGCTCTTTCTCTGTCTGTGTTCCACGTATGATTTCGCTTGGTACAAGTACGCTTTCAGGCAGCCGTTGTCGCATCGTGCACAGCCTAGAGCATAGAGTGTAGAGCGTAGAGCGTAGAGCGTAGAGCATAGAGCGTAGAGCGTAGAACGTAGTAGAATCTACAGGCTCGGTTGTTCCATTCGAGCAGCGTTTCGATCGGAACTCGCGTAGCGCTTGACTAGCGGCTGATTCGGGATGCTCGAAGCCGGTTCTATCCGCGCATCCGTGGATACGATCCCGGCTTCGAACATTCGGCGGATACTCTTTGGTTGCCTCGCCGAACGCGACGGGTCGGTTGCTTGCGATTAGGAAGCACGGAATGCCACTGGTAGAGCCGCCTCTCGTTTTACTTTCGCGCCGACTACAGCTGGGGCGTCGGTACGATGATGCGACCTTCTCGAACGAGTTCGCCTGAGCTTTGCTGGATTTCTGTTTCGTTTTATGCGACGGTCGAGCGCGACGATCGTCCTACTTTCGTTCGAATCTCGAAGAAAGAACTCTTCGCGCGGAGGACCTTCGTCTCGGTAAATGGTTTTCGTTTCGCCTAATTCTCGATACGCGTCTCGGTATGATCGCTCGAAACGATCGGTAAAGTAATTTCGAAAATTCTTTCTCCGAGCACTCGATCGCGCACTCGATCGCGCACTCGATCGCGCACTCGATCGCAGGATGCCGAAAACGAGAGTAGTTCGCCGAAGATCGGCACGATCGCATCTCGCGCCGTCTCGATCCCCGGGGGGACAGAGAAAGTTCCCGACGCGAGCTCGTCGCTCGTTCGTCGAACGGCGGAATCGACGAGAGTCGACGTAAAACCTAAAACGAACTATCGATCGACGAGAATCCTGCCGCGCCGGCCTTGTTCAAAGCTCGGGCAAGCTCAGCGACGGCCGGTTTCGTGGCCAACGAGTCCAAACCGGTTGAAACGTGTAGAAGCGAATAGAAACGAATAGAAACGAATAGAAACGAATAGAAACGAATAGAAAAACGAGCGCCAGCGTTCGGTCATCGCCGCAGGGAAACGTTCGACGGACGCGGTGGTGGTCCACCGATGCGACGGTTAAAGTTACCGAACGAAACGGTTCCAATCCTTCTCGGACTCGGTCCGCTCTCTTCTTCTTCTTCTTCTTCTTCTTTTTCTTCTTCTTCTTCTTCTTCTTCTTCTTCTTCCTCTTCTTCTTCGACTTTCCTCTACTTATATTTTTTTCTGTTTCGTTCTCGTTGTCGTTGGTGTTATCGTTGTTGTCGGCCGTCTTACCTCGTCTCGTCTCGCCTCGCCTCGTCCGCTCGACGTGCCAAAGAACGCGGCGACAAGATTAGATTCGAGATTCGTTACGATGGTTCTTGCCGCGGTTTCTATAACGCTTCGGCTACTACGGTTCGTTCTCGGTTTCGCGATCTTCGAACGGAACAGCGTCGCCGGAAGTCGTCGTAAAATAACGATAGATCGAGGAATCGGCAGGAGTCGTACGATCCGTCGTGGATCGGTCCGCGAGATCGGTCTTTAGAGTATCCTTTCCGTCGAAAAATTCCAGAACGCCGTTTCTTTCGGTTGTTTCTTTCGGAGGAAAGGAATCTTACCGTTCGTCGAGCTTTCGAACAAAATATTTCCGAGCAACCGCGAACGAACGCGAGCGGTAGAATTTGTTCGCGAAGCGAGGCGATTCTTCCGTTCTCGCCGATCCAAGATCACGATGTCGTAGATCGCGTAACGTATCGCGCGGTAAATGTTCGCGTTCGATCAAAAATTTGTTCTTTCCGAAGAACATCGTTGCTCCGACTCTCTCCGGTTTCCGAAACACCCTGCACACGGTCGGATTCCCCAAAGTCCTTCGCGTTTCGTATCGCCGCGCACCACCCATCGAGGTTCGAAACCTCGACCGGCGAGGTCCGATCTCCGAAAGTCGAGAAACCGGCGAAGAAGGCCGCTTCGAGACCACGGAAAAGCGAATCGGTCGAACTAGAACTAGAAAGGCGAAAAGAAGTCGAAAGAACAAGCGGTGCTCGTTGGCCGTCGAAACCGGGTGCGAACCGGCAATGGATGGGGCAGAAGGCATGACGGGATCTGGTGATTTCTCGCAGAGGGGTGTGCACGGTGGTTGTTGCCGTCCGGGACGACTGGTGGACGTCGAGGGAGATCCCCTAGGAGCGACGGGACCCCTCCTGCCCAGGGATAACCAGGAATATAGATCGCCGAGCGAGGACAGCGGTCTCGGGGCCGACATGCCCAGGACCAGGTCGAGGTCGAGAAGACGATCCCGAGAAGTCGGATCGCCCTTCGCCCTTCGCCCTACGCCCTACGCCCTACGCCCTACGCCCTACGCCCTACGCCCTTCGCCCTTCGCCCTTCGCCCTTCCCCCTACACCGATTCTCTTCCCTCGCTCTCCGGACTCGTCGCGAACGCTCGAATTCGCGGCTCGAAAAGCTCGACGATAAAATATTCCATCTCGAAACTTGCAACGATTCTCGACGTCCTCTCGACGTCGATTCCTACGAATTCTCCGTTCGATTTCTCGAATGCGAAACGCGCCGTTTATCCGTTATCGCTCGTCGCTTATCGTTTATCGTTTGTCACGCGCCGTTTATACTTTTCCCGGAAGCTCGGTAGCACCGCCCCGCCCCCGATTCGAATTCGAATTCGAATTCGAGAGAAAGAAAGAAAGAAAGAAAGAATGCGAGTAGGAAACGAACGCGACGGGGATGAACAAAAAAATGGGAAACTAAAAGGAACGCGGGATTCGAAGGGGGGCCGGTGATCGCGTTAATGGCATTTCTGTGTCGGATATACCCGGTGCATCGGTATTTCATTTCCTAACAGGCTCGATCCGGCTTTAGTAAATATCTATCCCCGCGTTCGGCCGAACCAACCCACCTCCCCCGACATCCTCCACCGCGCTGCTGGTAGCAAGGTATGTACGTGTACACGGACGAGCGGATACCCACCCTGTGACACGCGACCCATCGAAGGGCAACACAGCAAGGTAAATAGAGGCTGCGCGTGCGAAACACGCGTGCCCCTCTATCCGCGACGGCATCGACGGTGACGCGGGCGGTGGTCGATCGGGCGATTCCGAGGTGCCCGGGGTGTCCGGGATGTATCGGTGGTCCGCTCTCGCGGATCGGTCGATCGATTTGCGAAACAATTTGTTTCCAAATAAAACTAAAAAGCGCTCGATTTCGTTCTCGCGATTAATAGTAAAGGAGTCGATTCGGTTATCGCGCCGCGTGGCTCGCGAGACCGAAATTGCCGCGCAGGCTGCGGGCTGCGGGCTGCGGCAATTCGCGACCTATAGAAACCTCGGCCCTTCAAAATTTCGTACTATCCTTCGTGGAAGTTGGAACGCTAGGTCGTATCCCTGGTAACGAAACGAAACGAATTAGCTTCGAGAGCGTCGGCGGTACGGTAATAGTTCCCCGGACGCCGTAAACATCGTCCGCGCGTGTTCCCTTCCGACGAATGGAGAACTTCTGGAAGAACAGAAATCTTCGATCGTCCAATAAATGATCACCGAAAGCGAAATACGAGCCGTCGAATATCCTCTGCGATCGGAACCAGGTATGGAGCACCGTCTACGCGCGAAATTGCCGCGGCGCGTCGGCGCGGCGGGAGCCTCGAAATCCTTTCCGAAGTAATCGAATCGCGGATCTTCCTGCAAATTCTAATTAATAAATTGAATTTCTGTTCGATCCGATCCGATCCGATCCGATCGCGATCGCGATCGCGATCGCGATCGCGGAGGACATTCGCGAACGTTCTCCATTTCCGATTAAAATCGTCGAAACTCGGCCAGGAACCGAGAACAAATCGTGGAACGAAGCGCGCACGATCGAGGATCGATATTCCCGAGGGGTTTGAACAAGTTCAAAATTGAAATTTTATTCCGGGGAAAATGGTGCGCGGGAAGTCCTCCGGATCGTTCGATGGATTTCCAGTAGATTCCCAATACGTAGAATTCCAATAGAATCGCGGTAGAACCGAAGGACGACGGATTTCGAAAAGTTTATTTTCTCGTTCGACGTTATTTCGGTTCGGTGTCGAGTCGAGTCGCTCGGTCGACCCATCGATCGATCGATGGCCGACCGCGACTCTCGAACGAAAGACGAAGGACGAACGACGCGAACGGAAATAGATTCGGCCCGCGCGGCCCGCGAGCCGTCCGCGACGGTGCGCGTTCGTCGATGCCCGACGTATGCCGCGCCCGTTAAATAATCGATGGGAAACGTATAAATAACCGCGTCGGAATCCGTTTACGGTTTACAGTTTTACAGCGAACCGGAAACTAGAAGCTGCTTCCGAACCAGAGCCGCTTCTAAACCCGGCCGGAAGATCGTAGCCGTTCCTCCCCAAACCCTGCCGTTACAAATTTTTCGAGAATCGAATTTCCCGTCGATCGAACGGAAGAACTTTGGACCGACGAATCTTTCCGTTAAAAATACCCAACCGAGCAGCGTCGAAGGTTCGCGATCCCGATTGCGCAGCATCCCGAAAACGCGGCTATAAAACATTCGTCGTTCGACCCGTCGCTCGTCGTCGCGCTGCCTCGCTCTCGCATTCGAGAAGACGTTCTATTTCGGCTCTGCCCGCCGATCGATCGGGCCGGCTAAAATATTCGCGGGTAACGAGCAATTACCCGACGCGTCGATCTGGAAAATTCGAGCGGTCCTCGGCCTTCGGCCCTCGGGAGCGGCGCGCCGAAAGCGTTCGCCGAACTAAACGATCCTTACGGGCGCATCGAACGCGTCGAGATCTCGCGCGAGATCTCGAGAACGAAGCAAGGGTGAATCGGCCCGCGAGGAAGGGTTGGTCCGACGCGCTTGGCGCGCCGGAGAGAAAGCGAAGCGGTGGTGGGTGGTAGGCGATGATGGGTGGCGGGTGG